ACCACAACAGACCTGAAATAGTTTGTTCCACACTGCCTGAATGGAATTGCTGGTAACGTACATGAAGTGTGGCAGTGGACATGCAATTTTTCATATATCTGAATATATCAAAGTTTTTTATATATCTGATGGCACAGTTACTTCCTCCTGTTAACCTAGAAATTACAGGTAGAAATTTTCTGTGGAAAAAAGAGAAAAATCATACATATATGTGTGTGTGTATGTATATATGTATATATAAAAATGGATTACAAAGCTGTTGACTGCTTGATAAAAGGAGCTAATTTCATGAGAGGCATTCCATGGGAAGTGAAAGGGCAAGACTGACCTTACATTTTAAATACAAACCCATGAAACTGCAGTTTTATTAAATCTCTTTGAACAACCTATCAATAAGAAACATCAAAAAAGCTGTCGAGAGCATAAGCCTGAAGGTGGTCTGAAATAGACCTGCCTGCATGCCTGAAACTTGAGGTGAAGGCATTAGTCTCTCTGCAGACCTTGAATCACTTCTCATGCTACAAACAACATAAAACCTCTGTGTTTAACCAGAAGTACAACGTCTATTCCAAATCTCCATCTGCCCTCACAAAACCTATTAGTTGTAGGGTTGCAAGGGTCTGAGTCAGCACAGACTTTGGTCAACTGTTCTCCATATCCATCCAGTTAAATATGAAAATGGCATGAGAGCTTGATGAATGAGCACATTGCAGTCAATGGGGCTGCAGCACTGTAAACAGGACCCAAATTTAGCCCACCAAAATTAACGTAATACTGCAATGATATTAAAAAGGTCTTTAAAAAATCCCCAGTTGTATGTTACAAATGATCTTAAGTACTACAGAAGTCGTCATTTACCCATGCTTAACATAAAACATTACTTAAGATACTACACTTACTTCCTGTTCTAAATATAGAGAAACACTGTCATCGGTAAGATAAGGACTTCTAACAGCAGTTACTCCTAAGTAAAAGTTAGCTTAGAAAGTCCCTAAAAAAACCCTATCTGAATACAACTGTTACACCTAGAAAGTGACAAGTATTTGTAAGTTCTTAAAAGGCTTTTTGGATCTTGTGACTAAAATATTTATAGAAATAATTTTTTCTATTTTCTGTAATACAATAGCATGTTACAAATCAGTAAGCGCAGAGAAACTGCAGGAGTAGAAGTTCACTATTTAATTGGGCATGACTGCAGTAACTCCAACAGGGACTGAGCGAGTCAAACAGAACTGGCTCCTGCAGAAAGTGCTACTCCTTCCCTCCAGAGTGAAGGTGGAGCGGTGGTACTGGACCCAGTGGAGAAGGGGATGAGACACATTTCTTCTGGGAAGTCAAGAGGTGTCCCATGTTGCATCACGACAGGTTTTGCTAGTGTGCTGTGAAAAAGGATCAAAAGACAACCCCACCGCGCCACCAGCCCACACCTAAATCCATTTTCTGGTTTTTCACCAAGAACACAGTGCCAGCTGTTGGAAACCAAGTAAAATATGCCAGTCTGATGCAGCCAGCTACCTTAATTTTAGATCCAGCTCCTGATCTGGCCATACTGGAAGGAATTTATTAAGGGGCAAGCGCAAATTACGAGTGGTTTTGTGGGCTGCAAAGGAAAGCAATACACCCACAGATTTGCAAATTTTGAGAGACAAATAACTGTTATAAAATGATAACCTCACTCCAAAGAACATAATTGGTGTACAAGGCTGATAAATATTCTGAAATGTTACTATAACTAGCACACAGTTGTAAAACCAGTAAATAGTTGCATTTTCTATACCGCAGTACAGCAACAGAAAGTACTAGCTTCTCAAATCACAACCTGCCGTGTGCCACAGCAGGAAGCGGCCAGCTAACCTGCCTGTTAGGTACACGCTGAAGAAGTAGTTACGCCATAGACAAAACCACGAATGGTCTTTTATTGTACAGATGATACATTTTTCTCAGGTAAGTAATCTTAATAAAATAGTAACTGAGTTTTAGCACCTATCAGTTAATAGCATTAACTATTACATTAAGATACACTTTTCTCTGTTAAAATTGCCGTTTCAAAGAAGGTAGACCTGGACTGACTTGTGCAGCGACTTGCTGGGGCTATGTTTGGAGGTATCCTTCTAGGTCCACCTTTCAGTTTCTCACTTCTTTGAGGGAAGCTGTTGCTTTTTCAATGGAACATTTTTATCTTGAAGTTTCCAATCATATGTAAGTTAAACATGGGAATTTATAGGGGAAAGTTCCAGTAAAAATGATCCACTTTAATAATCTGAACATTTTCCAAGGTAAAGAAATGGCTCTCTTACTAATTTTGTGTAGAAAAATTGTTATTCACATGGGAGCACGGAATGAGAAATGTTTTGTTTCCATTTGCATGTATACAAACTAAAGCTATCAGCACTATCAGTGAGACCAATAAACTAATCTTTTCTGTAAATGGTGGGTTGTGGTGTCTGACAAGGGTTTTCAGATAGCAAATACATGAATGGAACAGCCAGAGAACGTACAGTACTACTTACTGTATGGACAGCTGGAATTCTTACTAATCTTCGGCTCACCAAAAATATACAAGTTTTAAAATGGAAATCTAAGGCACACAAAATACCATAATGATTTGATGTATACTGTATATTACATAGTCAAGAAGCATAAAACTGCTGGTACAAAATGATGGCATAATATTTTGTTTTATTATTATTTACAATCCCTTCATATCCTCTATTTGAGCTAATATTAAGCTTTGAACTAAAATTTGCAGCATACCCGGTTTTTACAAATTTTACTTAAAATAGGTAAGATACAAAGAACGGGTTCAAATCAGCCATCCTCTGCCATCAACATTTTTGTTAACTTCAACAGGAATCTGTAGAATTGAACCCAAGGTTGTTACAGAGTGATTGCTACTTTAGACCTTGCTCCTGCAAGCACTGCATGTGTATACATATATACAGGAGAATAGTCTCATTGATCTACAGCCGCATTGAAGTATTTGTAGCACCAAGGTCCTAACTGGCACTATGTGTTAAAAATACAATTGATGTACTTTTCGTACCAAAACTGTAAATATAGCGCTTACAGTTCAACTTTTCAAGGAAAAAGCACCTTGTCTAGGTTTTAAATAAAGCAGATCTAGATAGTTCATATTCCTCTGTTACAGCACCACTACTTTACAATGTTATCAAGTATATTATTAGGATATTTTCGCACTGGAAAACTCTGACCTCGTTATACCTACAGGTTACCCAGCCGGGGAGGACTCCGAGGCAGAATTAAGGTACAGCTTCATCTCTGGGGCCTGATCCTGCAGCTCTCTGTCACGAGGGAGAGAGAGAGGAGAGAGAGAGGAGAGAGAAAGAGGAGTCCTGGCTTGAGCAGTCCTCCTGGCTCTGACTGGGCAGGTATGGCTACGCAGAGCTGTTCTTACGGAAGAAGTTGCAGGATGAGGTTGGTCCTTAGCTAACATTGTCATTTGGTAATTTGTTTAAATAAATAAGTTTAAAAAAAGAAATACATAGGAGAGGAGAATCAGAAAGAAGAGTGGGATGCTACAGTATTTAAAAGCAATGGAGTGTCTGGATTTCCTCTGGTTTAGCAAATACTCATTTCATGATAATGTCACTTTTTCAACAGAAATGGAGAACATAGATTTCATATGTTTGGAAGGAAGAATACAACCCTTTCTACATGAAATGTATAAATCACTTAAAAAATTTACAAAACATTTTTGTAAAAAAACTGAACTTAGAAAGCTGGTGAATATTACAGATAGGTTATTCTTAATGAAAAATTTGCTGTTAAATACTAGAAATTTCATACTTTTCCAACACTTCCTTTGTATTTTCCCAAAATTATTGTGGTTTTTTTTTTTTTTTCCCAGAATAGAATAAGGCAACTCTAGGGGGTATTTTTTTTTTATCCCAAAACAATCCTACCCCTGAGGCATTAGGAACATTTGGTTGTTGTGTTAACTTAGAATGCTCCAAATGAGTGAGACTTACGCGCTTATTGCTCAAAGAAATCATAACAAACGCTGCCTTTAAAAACCCAAATAATATTCATAACTCCCAATAGCAACACATGTATTGACAAGACGTCTCCTAATTTCATGTTTGTACACTCTCTTGAAAATAATAAAATGTTTCTGTATTTTATAACTGTTGTTTATATGCAACATAAAATTTTCGATGAAAAAGGGCAAGTCTAAAAACAATCACATATGCTATTAGCATACATACTGCAGCTGTAACAATATGGAACTCTACACAGCAAGAATAAAATGATTTCTTCTGTAGAGTATGCACAAACCTTAAACAATATGATCCTTATACTATACTATTTCAAGTTAATTTTAAAAATAGAAAGTGCTTTTAAAATATATATTTACAGCTTAAAAACAACTTCCAGCCATCATTACCAATAACTTCATTTCATACATAATGACAAATCTAGAGAAAAAAATTCATTGGTTTTCTAAAAGATTTATCTGTAATTTGGACTATATAGCAATGGTTGGAAGTTGTTAAAGCAATGGCACCATGAAGTAATAATTCAGCTTATTTATTTTTAACTGTTTGATGTGGTTAAGCACCAAGAGCTGTGTAGAGCTATTACTGTATAACTTGATTTAACACCATAAAATGTGAACCTGTTAAAATCCCTATAAATGATTTTTGTAGTAAACAGACTTGATTTAAAGCACCAAAATATAAATTCCTAAAGGTAATAAACTGAATGATTCAATCAAGGTTAATAACCTAAACAAAATCTTTTTTAGAATGTATTAAAACTATACAACTTTTTTCTTTTTTTTTTTTTTGCTTAAAATGTGCTTGAGCACCACCAAATGTTAAAGTCACAGTTTAAGAAGAAATCCCCCCCCCTTTTTTTTACCTCAGCCTTGAAATGGTTGAGATGAGCAAATAGTAAACGACTCGAGACTTGTTCTTTAACAGCACCTTAAAGAAACACTGTGTAACACTGCACCAAGAGGAGGCATTTGATACTATACCCTATGCCCAATGGTTGTAAGGCCCTGCGACTCGTGTAAGGGCATAAGAAGATACTGTTATTACGTTATCCTTGGTTACTGTTAATGCTCTGCGTGATGGAATTTGGTTGAACTCATTGTCTTCATAAAAAATATCTCTGTTGTCACTTGTTTGCTTTGTTTTCCTGCTGCTAGAGTTTAGTTCAGTATTCTCCGCTCCTAATCTTTCTGCTTCTTTTTCTTTTTCTTTCGCCCTCTCAGCCATCTTTGCTTCCCACATGGCTAAACCATGTTTTGGCTCATTTAAATTTTTGTGTTGGTAGAAAACTAAAGAGATTCTGGTGGGATGATTGCGGTTGGGTTTTTTAATAGGTGTGGTAGCATGGAGTTCACGTCTTGCACATTCAATTAAGATAGAACCATGAGAAGGTGCCACAGCAACCCCGCCAATGTCGTCATCCAAAAAATTGTGCTCGCTGTCTGACCACATTTCCTCGGCTTTTTCTTCAGAATCAGTCGGTTGTCCCAGTGCACTGTTTTGCTTTTCGTCAACACAGTCAAAATCACACATCTGTTCTCGATGGGAGCTGCCCTTTTCCATCGGGCATCCATGGGAACAGTCAGCTTCATTTCCGACTGCATCCTTTGCCGGAGAGCTTAGCGGTACTGACAAATCACAAGAGCTGATCATCTGTGAAGAAGGAGAATTGTCTAACTGAAGCTGACAATTCTGTTTGTCTGGCTGATGTTCAAGTATAGTGGGCAAGGGGTCTTTATGGGCTGGGGGGCCTGGAGCAGTGACCTCTGGAAGAATCGGTGGCACACCATTCATCTTATCATTCAGCAAAATTCCAGTATAATCTTTGACCGACACATCAAAGTTCTTACAATTAACATAAGGTGTCACATGAGGTTGCTTACTACTGCATTCAAAATACCCGTAGGGAACTGAAAAATCTTGTTGAATATTAGTCACTGCTGTTATGCCAGGCTTATGTGCTAAAGATGAATAAGGATGTAAACTATCCACCTTAAAAGGGGAGGAAGCCGTATACTGTTTTAATAAAGAGCAATTTTTAGTAGTGTTTGAAGTATGTTTCATGGCATAGAGGTGATCGGATGTCTCCGTTTTTATTCCAGGTTTTAAAGCATCTGTTTTGTTCCCTAAAAAAAATGCACACCAAAGTGTAAGTACTTTTCTTCACTTAATTAATGAAACACACCTTTTATAATATTTTCATACTTGCTTTCCAATATGGAAGATACACATGATGACTACAGATTTTTCAAAATGGTTGTTTTTAGCTTTTTAGGAATACTTCTATGACTCTAAGTACATACATAACAACCTTGCTGAATTAACGCCTTAGCCTTTGCCAGTCAGCCTGTTAGTATATAAAATACAAAGGTAGTTCACAGAGGGATGAATAAAATAAACAGATAAAACAAAATACCCACTCGGTCCCTCTTCACACAGCCCAGTTCTACTCAAGTGCTTCCCAGCAGCTGACTGCTGGCCTTCAGCACTGCCCAGGCTAGCAGGACATGCTATGTAAAAGTTTATACGTAATTGATGAAATTTAGTCTGTCTGAAATAAAGCCCATGAAACAATCAAAATTCTTGGCTGCCTTAACCTCATAGTATGATAGAAGGAAAAAGTGTGTTCATAGATCTTGTTCGTCATGGCAAAAAAGTTACTGAATTACAATGATTTGTGCATTAGCAAGTAACTATTCAGAAATTTTATTAAAAAAAAGTATCTGACAACATACTGCAGGTAAATCCATCCTTACGAAGCTGCATCATGTGATCTGGCTGTCTTCCATCTAGTTGACACACATTAATTACTACAGCCCTTTGTGGAGACATATTTGTTCAATTCAGATCAGCTCCCTAATCCATTTCTAGTCGTGGCACCCTGCAGTTGTGGTGTTTGTGGGACACTCTCCTCAAGTGACTCGCTCCTGTCACAGGTAGACTCAATCCAGAGCCTACAGGAGTCATGGGAAAGAATTCCATCGACTTTGATGGGCTTTGCATCATGCCCTGAAATGGCTTTACGCGTGTTCTGCTGGCAAACTGGCACCCCACAGAGAGCTCTCACATAGTCTGATAAAAGACTGGCTTTGTCAGTGTTTGTTCCACAAATAGACAGAATGTTTAACTGCTTTACTGAATAGAGAACTACTATTCTGTCTTCTAATAATTTATAAACAGTGATGGATTAAAAAACATTCTTGCAAGAGGAATGCAAAAAAGGCAAAAGTGGAATAAATTATGGACACCCTAGTTAGTATGCAAATACCGAAATGGTAGAGGGACATAAGGAAACCACATCAACTCTTTAAAAACCTTTTTTATGAAATCAAACACCAAGCATTTAACTTAAGGAAGAAGCCCCCCCACCACAGACCAAGGCCTTTCTCCAAAAGATTTGAAACACAGCATTTGAGAATTGCTATTTCCATCATCTCTGAAGAGAATGCCACTATTAAGGTGAAGGGACCCTGATTTAAACAACCAGTTGTTTCCTCTAGTTTACTATCAGGAGTGACTACTGGATAGTCTAGTTTCAACTCCTCTGTCTCACAGGGCCTTTGAGTTTGTTTTCATATTGAGCATAATCTCAGCTAGACTAAAATTTTCCATTCCTCAGGACGAAAATGATACCTGCCGCTGGCAGAATGGAAAGAACCAATCAATGACTCATCCCCTATAACTGCAAAAAACCTGTATGGAACAGTACAATACTGTAGTATTCTAAATCCATAATTTACAGATTTTTGCATTTTATTGGAGGTTAGGGACGGGCAGCAGTGGTGTGCTGATGTCTTTACAGTGACACCCCCATCGGCCTGTATGCCTAAAATAAACACATAAACGATGTGTGTAAATGCTTCAAGGTACTTACCTCCTGCAGAGCACAACTCCTTGCACTTTGCAAACCTGAACTTCCTCTGCCACTGCTGCCCAGTTAGCACAGCCTCTTTGAAATGGTTCCCATGGCCAAGCGCAGCAATATGCGCCATCAGCAGATTTGGGGATTACAGTGTTGACATCTATTTTGGGGGATTCTACTGTCAAAGCTTCCATGACAAAAACTACACTTTTATGATAGAAACTGAATATTTCTATTCACATTCTTATTTTTTTCATCTCTGAACAACTTTCTCACTCATAAAAGTATTTCTTCCTCACTCTGTGACTTATTTTTAGCAGCAACCCTTTTAAATGACTTCACCAAAATACTTAGAGTCCAAACAGATTAAGTAAATTGGCTTGCTTGCACAGTTATTTTATTATTTTTGCAAGTTCAGGGAATAAAGTTCTATGTTCCTAAAGCACATGGCAAAACTCTGGATAGAGTACCATTTGTTAAAGGCATGGTTTTCAGATATTGAAGCCATGCCTATTTGTAATTACAATGTCAAGTACAGGTAGGCGGTTCATAACTGTATTTCAGTGTTACAAAACAACTTCCCTGTGAGATCAGACAATTTCAGAATTCCTTCCCAAACCAGAGCCCTCTAATGCTTCCAGGGCTTCCACCCCACCCTGAGCACGATGGAAGTTACCAATCATTGCTTCGGAGTTACTGCTGGACATCGTCCTCAGCCTGAGGGACTCCTTTTACATTTCAAAGCCTGGACTGTCTCCCCCAAACATGAGTGTAGATTAACTGAATGTCTGTCTAATTTCCTGGGGGTGTCAGTAATACTGCTTTGCTTGTTCTTAGTCCATCCTGCTGTATGCAACGTTAACTGGTTCCCCTGGCTCCTCTGCTGGGACAAAGCAGGGCGCTGAGTGCAAATGATGAAAATGTGTCAGATGGGTGTGGTTTTTTCTTCTAAATACATTTAACTATTATTCCACCCCTTAAATCTACTACATCTATCTGGATGTCCCTCATGGAATAAAATTCAAAATTATAGCAGATAAAAGGCAGGCAGGCTATACTTCAATTCCTTTTATTTCTTTTTTCCCCCCCTCTAATCACAGAATCTAAGTTGCTTCCTCCACCTCTTCCTTCTGTTCTACTTATCATTACTGCAAAGTCCCCCAGAATAGTTCTGTCCTCTGACGTACCAGTCCAAAATCTGACCCCAGGTACAACAGCGTAAATCAAAAGCGCCTCCACGCAGCTCAGTCGTGTCACCATTCTATGTTGCACAGATACATACTGTAGCGGAAGACTCTGGCCATAGTAATCTCATTGTAACATAACAAACGTGACATAGCTTTTACCTAGCAGCTGACAGATTGCACCGCTCTGACCCTTGCTAGTAATATTTCAAGGAGCAATTTTAGAAGCACTGTCTTATTTGATAAAACTGTGAGCTTTTTTGCAAATCTCTTGCTTTGCAGCAGTGTCCGTGCCATTGATAGGAAATTACTATTGACTCGGATTCTGAGAACGCCATTGTCTTTCATAGGCACTGGGTAACACAGTTCTTGTACTTTCAAAGGACAGAAATTCATGTCAGTTATTTAGATAAACATTCCTGCAACAGTATTTCAAGATGATCCTACTGCCATTATTTATTAGAATGAACTTGGAAATATTTCACTGGTGCTCACACACCACCACAAACTCATTTTTGGGCGATCACCTGGGTTTTTTCCCCTTTGCCAGAAGAGAACATTGACTACAATCACTTGCTCATTAGCCTCTAAAATGCAGCATATACAAGTATTTTACAAAACTGAGTATTAAGGAGCTTTTCCTTCCCCTCAGATGGTAAGAGGCAACACAGTATCAGAAGAGACCGACAGAATTTAATAGGCATCACTCACCTAAACAATGCAAAGTGTTGCCAAGATTTTCTGGGGCTTCAGTTTTCAGCTTTACTGGTGTTGAATATTTTTTATCTATTAACAGCTGCTTTTCTGCTGGGGTCCTCCTTGTGTCTGGTTTCTTTTTCTTTGTAGCTCTGAGAGGCTCAGCTAACATTCGTACTTCTCTGGGAAATGCTGTCAGCACCTGTATGGCTCCGGCTTTTATCTTAGCTTCCAGTCCCTCTTCGGTGCCAAATTCATCTGTCTGTGAAATTTTGTACAGAGGTAACACATGGAGCTGTTCATCACTTGGAATCACCCCCACTCTCCGGTTATCTTCCTTCGTTAATGTACAGACCTGGCAAGAACAGAAACATTTATGATCCAACCATATACATAAGGTACAAAAGTTACTTAAATATTTAAGCAGTCACCCTGGACTTACTGGTTTCTCGTATTTTCTGGCCTCAATGCTATGGGTCTTTCAAATGGAAACATCTGACAAAAATTGTCTGATTTATGATGATGCAGAAAAATTATTGGTACTTGAAGAGTAAGACCAAGGCACATGTCCTGAACAGGAAAAGTGAAACCTTGGCTCAACTCACTCTATCCACAAATGTATGCCATCCATGGTAAGTAATCTGAGCTGTAAATATACTGAAAATCCCTAAGCATTCAGAATTTTTTAAAAATACATATTTGATATTCAGATTCATTTTTAAGGACTAAAAAAAAATATGAAAAAAGAAAATATTTTTGTATCAAACAAGAAGTTTCTATGTCATGGAACTGGTTTTGGTTTTTGTTTTGGCTGGCGAATAAAAAAACCCCCAAAACACAAACAGTTACTCATACTGCCTTGTATTTTTAATAAATCTCAGCTCTAACTCCTTCCATCTCTCTTTATACACACTTTAAGTCAACACCCTTCCCCAACTCTGCCTGCCTGCTGCAATGAAGCCACAAGCCCCAGCAAATGTTTGGTTTCTCTTAGGCCACTGACCTACTTTCTGTTATTAAATTATGTGTTGTGAGATACCGGAGCCGAGAGGAGAGTGCTGGTTAGATCCAGGTTGATAAGGGCACATCAGAAATGTGGATAAATAGTCAAATTTATTGCAACAGTTTTCTTACTGTAATTTTTCCGTATCACTGCTGAACCTTTGCAGTACTTCCAATTTTCAGCACTTCCAGAGTCCCGGCCATTGTTAATAGTGACCCTTCACCTTAAAAGCAGCGCTAAAGCCAGCAGTCTGCTTCCTGGTTTCATTCTCTGCTTTCCAAGGGATGGCGACTGTTTGACATGCATGAGCAAGTGTGCAACTGCTCACACCATTTACAGTTTTTATTAGTTACATTCATAAGAGACTACTAATTTTCACAACAATACACTGCATCGCTAGAAAAGCCAGGCATTCGTATCGCGGCTTAGTTAAGCTCCCGTTTCACAGGGAGTCCCTACCTACACACACACAGGAATTTGAGGGCCATCCAAGATGAGATGATACTCCCTAAATGGAAACCTTATCATTCCATCATTGTGTAGGCTGAATGTGATGCCTATCATAAACAATTCATCCAATTTCCCAAAATCTTGTCACCATGGCTAACATCCCAGGGAAGAATAGTATTATTATTTAGGGGGGGAAAAACCAAACACTTTTTATTTTATAGCACAGCTTTCACATAAAGACATCACACAATATTTCCAGAATAATAAAATTACAGAATCACAAACTCAAAGTCCTAACTCAATAAGGTGGCGGTTAGGGCTTTATAAGTAGCTATATGCAAAGCTTGACAGTTGCAGAGCAGCAAAAGGAGAAAACTTGAGGGGCAGAAACAAAGGAGAAGAGCTTTTCAGGTGGCATTTTGAAAGGACCAAGAGAAGGGCTCTGAAGAAGGCAAAGTGAAGGAGCGGTCAGAAGCTGATGGGTAGCGTTCACTGTGTGCTTGCTCCATGCGTACTTACCTCTACTGCGCAGCCTTTGGACTACGAGGAAGAGTTAGAAAAAAGAAGTTGTACCATGAGCAGCGAATGACGCCTGGTTCCCAAGGACTTCTCTGTCCCCACGCTCCCACGTGCCCAACCCCAGCACCACTATCCCTGCTCCCTTTTGTGCCCCGCCACCACCTCCACTGGGCACCAGCCAGTGGAAGCAGGGACCAGCTGAAGCTCCATACCTCCCGGCTACCGGGCCAGCAGGCACACGCTGATTAACCTGCGGCCATGGCTGTGAGGACCCTGCCACCTCCTCCTCGGAGCTACCCTGGATCCATGTGCGCCACTCAGCACTGATATTTCACAACTTGGATCAAGAGGTTAAAAATCTCCAAAGACAATTAAGTTTCTGCAAAGTCTGGTGAAATCTGGTTGAAATTTGCCAGTACATGAAGTTATTCAGGAAGGGTGAGAGAGAGTAGGACATACAGAGAGCACAATTAATAGGACTCATCTTCTTAGAAAGCCCAGCACATCCTCCCCTTCTAAATTAACAACAAAAGCAGTAATAAAATAAGCTTTGTGGAGGGGCCTAGCTCCCACTTGTTCTCATCAGAAACAAAATGCACGATTCTCACTTGTCTCTGAAAATACTCTGTCCAATCTGTGCCTAGACTCATGCACTAGTCTGGAAAATGTCCAAATCTTGAGGATTCAATCCACAATCTTGCTTATTTTGAAAGTTGAGACCCTCATCCAATTTACAGTTCTAAATTTTAATGCATTTCACCAGACCCTATCATGATCTTGTACATTTATTAGATTTATTCTTTTCCATAAGAAGATTTACTCTTAAAAATGTGTTAACCATCTTTCATCTGACTTACAATTAGGCAAAGGTAGAGTAGCTCTACATTTTCACAATGCTTGGCTCAGAGGAGAGCATACAAGCAGAGACAAAAATCAAAGCTCATACTGGTTGAAGGAAAACCTATTTTAAGGAAAACTGAGTATTTGTCACCATCACAAACCCAACACCCTCCTCTTTAGAGCAAGAAAAGTAAAGAACTCTTTTGAGGAACTGGAGATGATGAGGGCTGCTGTGTACTGGCAGAACTACGTTGAAGGTACAGTCAACTCCAACACACACAATATATTAAATACGGAATTAGAATACATAACATTAAGAAATTTGTGGATATTAAAAATTATGTTAACAACCTGAAGACCAGTACACCTACAGCCTAAATACCATAACAGCAAATTTAATATATGTAAATTTTCAAGCTCAGTGTCCCCCATAATATATTTTAATATAAAAGGAAGGATGCAATGGCAAGTGGATAACTGCAAAATTAATGTTATGGGGAAACCAGGTGTAAAGTAAGGCCCTACAGATAAGCTAGCAGTTTACAGCTTGAGTAATCCACCAAAAGAGAAACATCAGTTTCAAAAGCCAGTCTAATATTCAAATCTGTGCAAAATATTCCATTAAGAAGGTGAAAGAGAAGCTATCATTGAGAAAAGTGCCATTTTCCATTGGTACTGACACTGTGCTGCAAAGTGACCAAAATTAAACCCCAACATGACAAAATCACAGACTCCATTAAAGCCCATGTACACAGTGAAGCTGCATGTCCCGCTCCTCTAAGTACTTTTTCCAGAACGTGCAGCTAAATCATCCAGGATGCTCAAAAGCTGAAGAAAACGTTGGCCAAGTGGTTTGTTTAGGTTGGCAGTGTGCTTGGTGATCAAAACCATTACCTACTCTGGGTTTAGTGATGTCATGGTAAATCTTACATATTCCTAAAACTTTATTTATTTTGTTTAAACTTAAGATGTATCTGTGAACGCAATGCAATTCCCTCCACAGATCTCCCAAGAAACATCTGTAGCCACACAGCTCCCAGTGCATAACTCCAGGACTCTTTGATCTGCCTTCATCCTCTCAAACTTCACGTGTAGAAATGATGTCGCCTTTTCCACAATGTTGTAAAAACACGTTTTAAATTCAAGTTTCAGCAAAGCAGTCAAACAGCCTTTCTAAATATCAAAGGTGGAATCAAGTTTCCTACACTCACGTTCCCTTTGCAGAAAGGAAGCAGTGGGTGCTGTTTGGGACTCCAAGGTGCTGCGGCATCGTTGCTTACCATTACAAATACCAACAAGGCTGCCTTGCCTTTACAGCCAAGAAACTCTGTCGTTTCACTGGCCTCTTACACCCTGAGTAAGCCTGGGGTTCCCGGCTCTGACCCCCAAATGACCGCTGCATACACACCTAGGAAGTGTCAGACAGCATTGCTGTGCTGTGTGCTCTAACCTGGGTATGGCACACAATCCCCTGTCTGGGAGCTCACACGCCGGTAGAGTGACCTTCTAATGTTTCTCCATCTTCACAACATAAAGAGCAGTAACAAAAATCCTTCCTCTACAGCCCTGTGGGGTTAATCTTTTCTTCTGCGTATAATAATCTGAACCACCAATTGAAGCATCAAGTACTTCTGTACCTCACAAAGCAAGCTGTGGGCATGGTCCAGAACGTAGCCTAACCATGCTTGGAGACATTCTATCATTTTTTGCAAAAACCTAGACACAGTGATGTGATGAGCTATAAATACAGAAATACAGTTAGTTACTGGGAAGAGCAGAGGAATGTAATTTTTTTTTAAAATAAATAGATCAGGAAGAGTTTGTTGACAGATTGCTGATTGATGCTACTTAGCGCTGCTGCCAATAATAAATTTTACGTTGTAGCTGCCCTTGGAGCATGGATTTATGTTCCTCCCCTTCTTCCACAGTGCCTGCTGCAGACTGCGTGGCACCAGTGATCACACAGAAGTGCAGCTGGTCTCTCCTTCCTCAACCCCAGCAAAAAGGGCAGCGTGAAACACCCATATACGTGCCACAGATCTAGCGAAGTCTTCATTAAACCATTTTGTTCCAGTCTGTAAAACCCTGTATGTCAGAGATTTAAATGGATTCACACAGGTATGAAGAATGTGATCCCTTGCAGCTAATCCAATAAAGAAACAAAAATACTTACATTTCACAGGCTCCATTAATAAATATATTAATAACTATAAAGTTTTTATTTGCGTGTTGCTCATCTATAGTCTAGCTTTGTATCCACAAGGAACACAGCACCCTAATGCTGCAGCTGTCATGTGCATCAGTGCCCCTTAGGGGAACATTAAAAGATGACAAAAGAGTCTGTGTATAGTATGGATGCTCTACTTACTGACTTAAAGGTTCTTTAAAAACTCAATTAATAGGCTTCTGTCAAATAAACCTGTTAGCTTACAGCTCTCTAGAACTGCCAAGTGTTTTCCTTCTACTACAGAGCAAACAGGGAATATTCATTTTTATTTTCAGCTTTTCTACCAAAAAGCAGCTCTGCTAAATTCAGGGCGTGATTTTGCTAGGCAGGAAAGACGTTCAGCAAATCAATTCTCCCACAGTAATCCCCAATTTTTGCAAGTGAAGACATGCTGTGCTATCTTGTATCCACAGAAGACATTCCCAAGACTTTTTTCCCCCCCACCGCTAACAAAAATGACAACCTCACATACAAATAATGCAGCTGATCATCAACACACGTATACCAAGGAAAATACAAGAAATGCTTTTCTGCAATTCTGTCAGAGACAGAGCAAGGAAATTGTTCTGGGCAGCTCATGAGATAATCCATGCTTATCATTAAACTCATTTAAGTGCTTTGCTGAACTCATGTCTCTGTCTGGCTTAAATGATTTAAATAGATTCTGGTTTGCCTTTACTTTCAGCGCACTGTGCAGCGTTCCTTTCGCATTTGTGGTAAAAGTGATTCACCAACAACTGAAGGGAGAAACTGAAGAGGTCTCACGCCGTAGGTGGTGGTGATGGAGCCAGCAGCATTCGCAAATACCATCTTATGAGGTGTTTATCTTAACCTTTTTAGTCTAGAGGAACTTCAGCTTTGATAAATCAAGATTTTGTGTCACAATAAGAAGGAAGGGAAAAAACATTACCAACGCTAACGAGGTGCAAGGTGACAAATACACTTTGTACAGACTTTGAACTGCAAGGCGTGACTTGCTTTTTTGAAAAAATCAATTAAAATACAGGAGAAAAATAGTAAATAAAGCAATGGATCTTTGAGGGTTGTAAGGCAGTGCTAATCGGTCTCGTTCTGCTTAGTACCACATTATCAGAAAACAATCACCTATACAAAAGCTGTCACTTCAGGTGTATTACTTGTGCATAATCATAATACATTTTACAGACAAAATGTGTCATAGTTAAGATGTAAATGACTCCTCCATCATTATCACTGGTCATTTACAAGAAATCAGAGTGTTTTTTAAACAAAGTAGGTACCTGAAGCACCTTCTGGAACTAAATGGGAATGCAGGAGGTGACCAGACAGGTGACAGAATCACATGTAATAGTTTAGTTTGGTGTTACCGCTGGATTTCCTACTTTATTAACAGATTTGGTTATAAGCTCAAATTAACAACCCTAATTTTGATCTTCAAACTGATCTAGGTTGAAGAAAGCCCAGCACATCCTATTACCCTGTTTGCAAAACAACAAAATTCTTTGCTTTAGGCTTCCGATATGTACCACCGTAACTATATGGACTAATAGGCAGCAAACTATACGTCTTATCGCTCACACCCGCATCTTCTCACTGGAAGGCTGTATGCATATAGGTCATTAGGTAACTCTGAACTCTAATTCACCTTCCAAACGCTCTGATTCAAGTATATAAATTGTTGATACTTGCAACTATTTCCTATTTACATCTAGCCCTTTGTTGCAAGTATATTACAATAAAGAGCTATCAAATCTAAATAAAGAGAATACCAGGTATGCAATAGGTATGCAATAGGTAATTGTATGAGCGAGCTTGCTGATGAAAATCAGACTCCAAGGCATAGTTTTCTGCAGTTCAATGGTTTGGTAACGTCTGCAAGACTGACAAAATTTGGCAGAACTTGATAGAAAGAGAATTTTAAATTCTGGCCTATAAAGTGACCTTACACAGGTCGTAATTTTCCACGCTTCCTGGGTTTGGAATGACTCGCAAACACACCATGTGCAATCCTTAGAAATAAAGTCTCAACACCAGCACGCACAATCTGAAGCTGAAATGACGTAAGATGATTACAGATAAATACGTTCGTAGAACTATTCCTCAATACATTCCTCAAAAAAAGGGCTAATTGTCCCTCCAGCCACTGCTGGCTGTAAGTTACAACTTTTCCAAGATCCAACGTGGCAGAATGAGTAGCAGGCTCTGTTCCTGTTTCATTTTTGTCTTCAAGAGGTAATGCAGCGCTTAACAAGATGTTATTACTTTGGGAATACCTAAATTAAATTTCATTACAAAGTATACCATGCAGTTTGTCATGAAAAGGAAGTCTCATTTTCAAATTCGGGATCTTTAAGAGGCGTGAATGCCTATGCTTCAGAACCGTTAAGTAATGACTGTCCTAACACATGAGCTTACTCATAGCATCTTACTAATATTTTGCAAAGTACACTTCCAGCATTTTCTTACAGATTATGCACACGTAAGTGGCATTCGATGCTGGGCAAACATATCAGTCTGTTCCGGACTGGCTTTCCTGGTGAATTCCGAGACCTGCTTCCGTGCTTTAAAGTAACAGACATTTGCCCAACATACAACCACACAATTAGAATTAAGCAATTGGTGTTACATACAAATGCTAAATGTTAACCGTGTGTACATGCAATGTTTTAGTTAATCACAGCAGCTTAGTAAGTCAACTTTTACTTCCAAATTTTAAAAAAGATGGTTCATAAATGGGCAGAAATTTTAGAGAGAATTTTCTTTTCCAGACATGCATCCTTTGACAGAGTAATTATTCTTGAGTGTTACCTCCACCGATGGACAAGAAGACATCCTAGCTATTTAGAGCATTACAATGCTCTAACTACTAAAAACCCCAGATTGTCAGTTTTATTTCTTTTATCCTTTGAGCTTGTTTTTCTTCGTGACTATGGTCTAAAAGAATACTTAACTGGGTAATTCCTAACTGATGTTCTCACTAGCAATCCCGCAAGGTATTTTGTACAACCACCACACCAAAAACCCCTGCATCTGTGGGTTCTCCTTTCATACTGAGATTGAAAGGCCATAATAGTCACCTGACTCCACCATGATATCATACTCTACTTTCTGACTAGTAGCCATACTAACATGAAGCCTGGTAAGCACACAGTGCAAGAAAGGGTGAATTTGATGAGAATTGAGCCTGGGGGAGGTAAATTAAAGACGACTCAGTTTGGTTTAGCTCTTCCTTTACAGAAGTCTGTACAGCTCCTGGGTTAGATAATTACTGCCTTGGAACATCAAACCTCCACTGTGACTGGAGGCCAGTCCTCTCCAAGGGGTCTAGGTATCTTAAAAGAATTAAGGTTTTTTGTGGGAGGATGACTGCCAGACCTTTCTTGATCTGCTCTGTAGTAAGATGAAGTTATGTCCTCTGTAGACCAATAAAATATATGCAAATAACATGACAATTTATAAACGGCAACATGCAGTTCATTTCATAATGCCCCCAAAAACTTAATGCAAATGTACCCACTCAATCAAATGGCATTTTAAACCACACAGTAATCGCAACAGTAAACAGTACACATGAGAAGATGCTGAGTACGTACCACAGTGCTTCCATTGTGCATGTTGTGTGTGTCCTTATGGGCATGGGCACAGAAATCTATGCAAGCTGTTACACCAGAGAAAGGCCTACCGTCCTTGGATCCAAGCCGACAGTCCGGGCCCATGTGCTCATTTTCCACCTAAAAGTAAAATAAACTACAGGTACTTGGGACTGAAAGTGAGCAACTTGGAACCCCATGAGCCACAGCGGCACTTGTGATGGAATAAATGCAGCCAGTACGAATAATAGGAAAGCACGTGTTTTCCTATGAAAGATGCAACACTTGTGGCACGATGTCAATGAGATAATTGCTCAGAGTCAAAATGTCTTTAAATAATAAAACCACTTTACGATATTGTCTCTAAGCCTTTTACATATGCGCAGCTCAAGGCTTAACTAACCATCAGCTGAAACAAGAAAGGTGCAGTATTTTAAAACTAACCAAATAAAGCAGCCACTGTAAGTAAGCAACGGGATTCACCACATCTGCAAGGTCTGCGGCTTCTACCCATGAACATACTTTGGAGTTTCATCTTGTTTTTAAGCTACACTGCCTGTTCAGAGCTACAGCTACACCAGCGGAATGTCACAGACCTACCTGGTTCTGGAAGGCTTCAGGGGCAAGCTTTTTATAGACCGGAGCCACGTCAGTAGCTAAAGTTTGCAAATTATTTTCAAGAAGTTCCTCCTGTGGAGAAAGACAACATTTAGAGTGCTGTAATTTGCTTTAAAAGAATCTAATCCAGTTTAGAGATGCCTGACAAGTCAGCCTCTGTCTTACATTTTTTTAATCTGATTTCCGTTCTGCTGCCCTTTGTCACTAATCATAAATAAGCCTACTTTTGCATGACTAAAATGCCAAAATCATTAAATATAAATCAACCAAATAACAACGGAGGATATATGCTAGGGCAAAGAAACCCAATGCACAAGGAACTAATTTCCACATTGTTTCCCCCTTCCAATACCTAGGCAGTCAAGGATCGAGGTATGTTCCACACAAAATAGAGAAGTAACATCCAGAGGAGAACAATTGTACAGTGTGCTGAGTGGAGATGGAACCCCAGCTCTTCTTTCAGTGTTCTGCTTGTGGGGCCTTAACCGCCGCCTTTTTCTTTTAATCGTATGAGTAACTCCCAATAGCGTTTAACATTCATTTCAGCTCTTAGGGGAAGAGGTGTGTTTCTAACATCACAACAGAACTCTTATCAGAACATTTGATAAATATTTTGTTCATTGGAGGTGAAAAACTCAAGGCTTTCTGGAAATACCTGCTAGATCAGGAAATAATATTCCTTCTCTCGGGTTAAGCCATCTAAACACAGAACTAGTTAGGTGGGCTTCTATGGCAGTGTAAGCTCTTATTTATAGAAACAATCCCTAAATTCTTTTCCTAAATTTTTGCTTTTCCAGGAAAATCACCAACCAACTTGGGAAGAAAAGGGTGGTGACATACTCCCTACTTTGTTTTCCTCCAAGGGCCAGGCAACCAGAGACAACCACAGCTTCAGTTTTGCATACTGTATGGTGGCAAACCCCAACTTTGTTTTGTTTAAAAAAAAACAAAACAAAAAACAACAAACCCCAAACCACTTATCACCATATATCATAAATACTAATGTATATAAATATATACGGATACTTTCACATCTTTCAATGTGCTGTTACTCTACAAAACGATGCTGTATTTTTTAACTCATACTATAGCCAGTTTATCAACTGTTTATTGCTACCATAAGTTTTTCTGAACTGCATTGAAGATAAAGCATCCTTAATTATCTGTCCTATGTACTATTCTTACCTAGGTATATTACACCCTTAACCTCATCTCACTCCATCCAGTGCCTCAAATGATCCAAATCTTTCTGGACTTCGAACTATCTTAATTTGCTATACCTCCTAGCTTTATGTCATCTGCAAAATCATCAATATCCAGCATTTAGCTAAAAGAAGTACCTGCTAGAAAAATTAATGACAAAATCAAACGAAGAGAAAAATTATTTACCAGTAATTTCACTTCTGAGATGCACGACAGCCTGCACGCACACTGCAAGTGCCCAAGCACCACTGTTGCCTGCACGGCAGCCGGCTAAGGGTGCGTGTGCTGCCCTCGCAGGCATGCACAGTCACCGAGTGAGTACTTGTGCGCTGCACAACCCTCATCCCCCTCTCAGCTGCAGAATCCAAAGAGGTTTTAAAACAACTTCCAGGGAAAAGGAGAAATAAGGGAATGCACTTTTGGGTCACACATCTAGCAAATGTCCTGGTTAAGGAACCTCTTTTAGGCAACTGCTCTTACACTGTGGTAGAAGGCATTCTCCTCCGAAAATTTATAGGTTACCTGTCAAGTGCCCAGACAAGGCCAGGCAGCTCTTGTGAGCGGGGCATCATTTCTAGATGCTGCTGCGAATGCCATTGTGCTCGACTAAGCGTCCGACTAGGGCTCAGGGTGGCCGTTGCACAGACTGAGAGGAAGTGATGCCACCAACAGAGCTCGCAGTGCATAGAGTGCATTCTGATCAAAGACAGATCTATTTGAGCTCTCATAAGAGACCTGGCACAGCCTAGTATTTCATTAGGCAGTACATAGGAAGGTTGCTGCCTTGGTTGACTCCCCAGCTGATGTTGTTATAAACATTAGAAACCTACAGAGAAAACTCATGCACAGAGTGCTCCATGCACAGTATTACAGAGGGGGGAACCTAAAGCCACAGGATCAGAGAGAATGGAAAAGGGTCAAGATTCCTAAAATGAAAGAATGCCCAATAAATACGCTTTCCTATAAATTGGAGATTTATAAAAGAAACTCCCTCGAGACAAGCAGGGCTATTTTCACCTTGTATGGCCTTAGTCACGGAGGTGGTGAGAAGACGGGCAGAAGGGCCAGGTGTGCTCTGTTCTGCTGAGGCACAAGTCCCCGGCTTTAAGCCCTGGTGAAGTTTGTGAACACTCACAGTGTGAGTGCACAGCACAGCTCAGAGGAGATTGAGGAGTTTGCATTCATGTGCATATGCATAAAAGATGCTTCATCAACTCTTTCAGGAAAAGATTAGGACTTGGGAGGAATATTTAGCTCCAGTGAATCAATTGACATCTCTCTCTTCCAAGAAGCAATTAATGTTTCAGATTGTGTGTACATACACAAGTGTGTACACTACACATTAAAAAAAACGCAAGAATTACCTCTACTACTCTCTGGACTTCAAGCAGCTAGGTCTTTTCTGTAGCTGGCAGCAGTGTTCAGGAGCTGAGAAAGGTTATCGGCCAGGTAATCCAAACGGAGAACTAGGCAACTGACTGTCCTATGGTATGCGTGTCTCAAAGCATGCCTGATGTGCTGGTAAAGGCATGATAGTTTTATCTAGGAGTTCCACAGGGAAGTGGGGTTAGAGACAGCTACAGTCAGAACAAAAAGCACTTGAGTTACCCCAAGGAACGTACGTTCATCAGGCAGGGGTTATCAGTTTACACCTTCCTTCCTTCTTCCTGAAAATATTTCCAACGTAAAAAACAAATTTGGTTGGTTTCTTTTAGAGGTTTCATTACTTCACATAACCCATCACTGTATTTTCTGTGCTATCTCAGCTTTATGTCATTACTAACACTCATAAGTAGCCATTACAGTATAATTTCACTGCATCATATTTTAGTGTATTTATACCTTCAAGAGTCTTAAAAAACATGCTGTCTGCAGAAAAACCCGTCTATTCTAGGTGGCAGAGCCACGACCAGGTTGTCAGCAGCGTGAAAGCAGCACAACCCAAAGTACCAAAAAGGCAAAAGGACTGAATCTCTGAGGTGCCTTTTTTGGCAAAAGGCAAAGGACTGAATCTCTGAGGTGCTGCCTTGGTGCTTAGAAAAATACAGCTTTAGCTGTATTTTATACTTACAAAGAATTAACGTTTCATACAGAATTGCACAGTGGAGCTTAATATGCACGCCAAAAGGCATTCAAGGATCATTTGAGGGTATTTAAATACATAGTAAATGACACTGAGTTTTCATACAGTGGAAAAATTATAAATACTATGGTTACTAAATATTGAGTTAGGTTCCTGTGTGATAAGCGATGCGTGTGAGAGAGAACGAGTGGATATCCGTAGATTTAATTTCTAGTTCTGAAAATCATCAGAATAAGTATTTGGAGGAAAGCAAATAAAATAAATCAAATAAATCTTACTTGTTTAGGGTCATCAGTGAGAAGCCTGAATTTCCTCGGGTTTTTGCTTCTGGCAAACTTACAGCCATTGAAATACATACTCCATGAACAGCCAAATGAGAATGATGCTCCACAAGTTTCTGGATCAAGTCCCTGACATGCACAGGTTCGGCTATGAAAGGAAATAAAGATATGTCAAGTCAGCTGACAATGCAAATTTTTTTTTTTTTTTTTAAGGTCAATGCTATTTGCTATTTCTTTTATAATAGCATAACAACACAGGTATTTACAAAATATCTGGTTTAACCAGATCTTTTCTGTTAAGGAAATACTAATGTGTAGAGGACTGACTCTCTGCCCTTCCATAGAGACAGTCTCATCTCTAAAGCCCCACTTCTGGGAAATACATACCACTCAGTTATACTATATAAATATACATATGCTACTTTGAGTTTGACTTCTCCACTTGGGCAAAATTTTTATCCAAGAAAATACCACTGCTACTAAAGATTACCCCAAAGTCCACTAATTATTTTGTTATGTGCAGCAATACCATTAGTTCCAAATTGATCTAACTTTCCAAGTTGCACAATTCTACTCAGCCCAACCCTTTAAGACAACGAGCGTTAGATTCAGGTCACAGTACAGCTATTAGAGTCTGTTAAATGTGGGCTACACAAAAATCAGCACAAAGGAAGCACAGCCCCAGAGCCGCAGTTGCAATGTATCATCCAGTCAATTAAACTAAATTCCTCTCAGAGGCACAGGGAAGAAGATCTTAATTTTGAGAGTTCAGTCTCTCATTTATTTAAAAAGTCACACATCACCACCTTTGCAGCTCTTTAGCATGGCTGTGTGTGCAATGGGCACACGGACTGTCTTGGGCACCCTTTTCCCTAGGTGTAGCATGTACAACCATCACTTAGAGCCTGGTCTATAGGAAAAGCCAGGAACTAAGTTCTATGCTGAAATGACACCTAGTGGTTCGTAGTTTTAAAGGAGCTGTGGTATATTTATTTTATTAGCCACATGTTATTTATTGCAGAACATTCAAAAGGCAACCAACCATCATTTCCTAGTAAAGTAACTTACTCTTCATTTAACGCACATCTACGGCTGGTGGGACAGCCATATTTTCTGAGACTCTGCGTTAGTTCTTTGTACAGCGTATCAGCCAGGAGATGAGGGATCCCTTCCCAGGCCAGTATGAGAATCACAATGACGGCGGTTTGACAGTGGTGTCCTGCACGTTGACGTACCAAGCACAGCAACTTTTCCTCATCGCTACTTCTTCGTATCACCTGGAAGAATCATTTTGGTTATTCTTTGATAAGTGTAGGAAACACGTAACGTGCTGCTCTTCTCTGGGACAGGCAAGGCCTGGAAGAGTAGGAAATACTGCTGCCCAAAGGATGTCCATCGGCAAGCAAGACTGGGACAGCGTTGCACTCTGATCTCTGGTGTAGAACATGATTTTGCATTGCCTTTTCACCTGTAGAAGAACTAGCAGTACATTTTACAGGAAGAGGAGTGTTTTAGGTGTTCTACACAAACAATAAAGACGATAATGCATTAAGAGGAAAATAACAACTAGCATGAAATAATAATGCCGAGACAACAGATCCACTGAGAAGCTAACAGTTACCTTGAAAACAGTACAGAAAACATACTGCCACAACCCAGAATGGAGATACATAAAGCACATCACAAAAGCACACGTACACGTGTTAGGATTGTTACCACAGCTACGTATCGGTACATAAAATGGTTCCCACCTTGCAAAGTAAGATTAGAAGAAAGTGATGAAAATAAACTGCGTTCTAAGTGAAGGAAGCAATGAGACTTTTCAGAACATATCCCTAGACAACCTACATTAAAGTTCGTAGCAGACTGCTGAAGTTTTTTATTAAACTGTATGATATGCAAAGCAATCTTTGTCAACCTTACCCGTAAAACACAGACTGACACAACATGGAACAGTAGAAGATACCACTGAACTAAAAACAAAAAAGAAAAAAGCTAGACAATCCTACTCCCACATATTTAGGGTTTTTATCACAATCTGAAACACAGTTGCATTGTAAGACGACCCAAAAAATGCATTAAAGTAATACAAGAACGTAATCTTTGAAAATATGTTTATCTATTCTTCAAGCATGTTTTAGCCAGCATAGCCTGTACAACACGTCCAAAGGTGTCAAGACCTGTGTTAAGCTTCAAGCACATTAGGCCTGGACCTCCCCTCTCAGGCACTGGAGGATAAATCCAGCCTTCCTCCTTGGCTCTGGCGTACGTAGGATGGGGACCAGCAGGTCTCTCTCCCTCACTGGGTGCTGATGGTGAGCCCTTACACTGCAGGTATTCTCTGCCAGCTCCGTAGCAATAGGCTTGCTGAGGGCAAACGGTCTGTCACAGCCTGGCTCTCCACCCAACACCCCCCTCCATCAGCAAAACTCCCACAGACACGTTACCAGTCATGGATTACAAAAGCAGGAAGGCCATGGAGTTTCACCTTTTGGAATATTTCAAGTATCTGAGTTTTCAGGCAGATTCCCTATCAGACTGACGTCAAAGCTTCTTTGTTGCCAGACATGCAGCTGCAGATGTGACCTATAGCCTGATCAGCTATGAATATCTAAATTATTTGAACTCATTAAAAGTGGGGACCAAAGTACACCTGCAATTAATCTGCAACTGAAAAAGCTTTTCAATAGATGAACAGTCTCAGAGGGAATCTGTGCAGGCTTAGCAGGGAGAAGCAAGCTTAAAGTTAATTTGTGTCAAAGGAGAAAGTATCACCCTGCTAAAGTTAATCATACAGTCTTACAGTCAGCCTTAAACTTCGTGAGAAAACAAGCAAATGCATCTGAGATACCATTCCTCAAAAGGTATCTTAGTTGTGACTGACCAACCAGTACGGTATTTTTTATACAAAAAGAAAAATAATGCAGTTCATTTACATTGAGAAAGGTTTACAGAAAATCTGTTACAGCTGAGCTGATACACAATACAGGTTATGTGTGCCAGTGAGAGTTTTACATTCCTGAGCAGCAGCACAGCTCCTTAGAGTCAGGAGAAGAATTTGATTTTGTTACTCAGCATGAAGGGTGATGCTTTTAATCTCTTTTCTCTTTGGTTTCTAGACTTCCTAACTTCTGTAAGGAAATCTGGTACCTCTTAGTTTCTCAGTACAACAGGTTGCCCTTTTTGAGTTCTTATATAGTTCTAAATGGGAAATACACAGTCCAGGAAAATGACAAATGGACAGGAAGGAAATTAAGAGTTTCCTTTAAACTAACACCACACTTCCCTGAAGTAAAACATAGCTGGAATTTGCTTCATTATGCATGCAATAGAGAATGCAATACTCTACTGGACCCAAAACCATTATACAATCCATCATCTGTCAGGTGACAAAGGTAGCTCATGGATTTATTAGTTGTCTGAATTTAATTTCTGTGGCTCTTGAGAGGTTACATCATATGCTCATCTGACTACTGCAGCTGGAACGCTCCTGACCTTTTGTTGCCAGAGATCAGGCACTTCTCTCACCTGACCATTATGGTCGTAGAAGAGCACAACTTGCACCCCAACACTGACGGTTCCTTGGGACCCACAGTCAGTGACGGCAGCCAGAGCCACGTTGCTTTTCCCGTAGCAACTGATGATGCCCCTTCTCATGCTGTGGCTGACATTCTCAAAGCAGTAACAAGCACAGCCTCCCTTTTTTAATCATAATAAATCCACAGCTATACCATGCTTAAAATATAGAAAAGCACATTTGAGCAGGTCAACTGAAAACTATAGAATACATTCAGAAACACTGTGTCATTCTTGATGATTTAACAATTCTTCCAGTAGGGGAAACTGCCACTGCACTCCTTGACTTGGTGACTGCTTAATTACATTAAGACTGATATAACTCCGTTAATTTCCAACTTGTCATTTGTTCTCCAGTGCCTGACTACATGAAATAAATTTTTGAACTCTAGAAGAAATTACACGTACATACATATTAAGCTAAGGTAAAAACTGACTGCATTTGCTTTTGTTACTAAGCTTGTGGTTATCTGAGTAATTGGCACAATCCAAAATATGACTACAAGCTGTGTACCACTTACCAAGCTTTTGCCTGATGTGCTTATGGATCAGATTTCTTACTATTCTTCTAAGTAATGGACATAGTATGGCTTTAGTTGACTGATCCTTTCTTCAGTTACTCTTTAGCTGTCTCCAGTTTATTTCTCTATTTCTATTCTAGTTTCTGCAGCTTGAAATTGCTGGGGATGATTCCACGATCTTTTCACCCTTAAACTTCCCCAAACCATACAGTGTTTTAACCAGCTGCCCCTCCCTGCCCTGCCATTTACTTTATGGAAACATCACACTTGTTAAATTCATACAACAGCAACACTGTCTTAATGATGTCATCAGGAAAGTAGCATATATAAAATCTCAGCCTATGCTTTAGTTCACTTTATGCTTTTCAGCATGCATTTGACACAGTGGTCTTCCTCAGTAAGGCAAATGGAATTAGTGTACTGTCACAGACAGAGAGAATACGATAATAATGCAATTTATTAATAAATTCTTTATGCAATAATTTAAAATGCATATTTATTTGCTATTGAAAACGTGCAAACGTCATTCCCAGTGTACTTATTGTTTACCTGTAAAACACCAAGATGCCAAATATTAAGTTAAATGTGCAACAAACAGAGCAAGTCCCTGAATGTTTCCTCAGACTATGAGCAACACACAAATCAGCTGGCAAATCTTGTCTCCCAAAGTTGTTGCTCATGATTTCTGTGATGTAGTTAATAACAGTGATAAAGTAAATAACTTAATACTTCAGTTTGTTTAATTTTGGTCCCTAATGCACTTAAAAGGAACGAGAAACAAACATTTGTTAAGTGGTAGAACTATAAAGCTAGCTTTTTAAAATGGAAGAATAAAAACTTTTCCCCTGTAATTACTTTTCCACACAAAATAACCACACCTTCTTAGTGACTCACATAGAAAAAGAACATAATCAAAAAAACAGACCTATAGTAAGTTTGTAAAATATTACGTAAGACTTAAATGTCATATGGCCATCTTTTCGCAGGTATATAGCAACAGATCATCCTTGAACTCATTTCAGCAAACACTAGCTGTCATCAGTATTAAGTATCCATCAAAAGATTCCCACATTAGCAATGAATAATCTGCTTCAACTGCAACACGGCACTTCTGGAAAGCAGAAACAAACTCCCCCACAACGCCTGACCGATACCTATTGGCCTTGTTCTGCACTCACAGTAACTGGATATGACATTACACACTAGTCACTCCCTCACCAAGTGTCATCCTTGTAGGTTGCTGATTTGGGCAGGATGCTCATTTATTTTGATCATTTTCAAAACCAAGTTCTGTACATCCCTCCTGTGCTGTAGTTAGTCAGGCAGTCACCACTGCCACCTTCTGTACCATGCCTGTTCTGTGTTGCTATGGCTATCCAGTGTCCTTGTTTACATGTCCAACGAAAGGAAGGCAGCAGTTCAAGTAATTTATTTTATTAGCTAGCCCAAATATTCTCAAACAGCAGAATTTGAGAATCTGAGCAAGCCTTCAAGGTAGGCCACAGCCGGCCAGCTAGAACAGAAATACAATCAAACAGCTATCATGGCATCATACCACAGGTAAACCTCTGCTTCTACAAGCCACAAAGGTAGAAATTTGCCCAATTTTCTTAACAGAAAGCATGAGCCAAAAACTAGTGTATTTATTGAAGAGTTACCATATGCAGCAGAATTTGCTCCAGCAATTTAGCAACAAATGGGATAAACAAGAGGAAAAATTAGTTTTTTACACTCCCTCACATACAAGGATAGCAAAGAGGTAGAAAATGATACTAAAAATGAAAGAATTGAAGAACACAAGAGCAGGATGAGGCCAGAGTGGACTGTCTGGCCTTATCCCGATCCTGACAGTGACTGAGAGGAGTTGCCTCGGGATGAATAAGAAAGGCACGGGGATGCAGAGATGCTTCTCAACAACTGCCACGCACCTTCCAGCCACCTGCTGGCAGCTCAGGGGACGTCCTCTCTCCCAGCTTTTGAAGGATTTGCCTTCTGTCCATTTGTCCACTCCCTTCTAAATCTATGCAGCACTTTAGCACCCACTGCATTCCTGAGCAAAGCTTAATTCCAGACCAAGTGAAAAAGAAAACATTACCTTTTTTTTATGCTGAGCTCACCCCCTGCTAGTGCCCTCTAGGCTGATGAGTCTGTACCTCTACCTGTCTCTCCCAGTTCTGCTG